AAACCACTCAGACTAAAGGAGAATACCCTTCTGGGAGGAACTCAAAGGTACATTTAAAATCCTAATTATCAAAATGAATTCCAGGACATAGGAGCATGTTTTTTTTATGTTGTTATTTTTGTTGTTGATGGTGGTGGCTTTTGCTTTTGCTTTTTCTTTTGGGTAGGCAGAAGCAAATGCCAGCATGCAATTCAGTATACGCTATGTGGAAAATGATCTATGTAACTTGTGGACAGGGATGAGAGAGAGAAACTGGGGGAGAACAAAGGAAGGAATGCCATTGTCAAAAAAAAGAAAAAGAAAGAAAAGAAAGAAATATACTCATTACCTGACTTATGAAATGGTAACCCTTCTGTATAATGCCTTGATAATAAAATTTTAGTAAAAACTAAGAAAACTCAAACCCAGTGTGTTTAGGGAGGTTAAAAATTTGAGCAGGGGCTGGAAATGTGGTTTAGTAGTAAAGTGCTTGCCTAGCATGCATAAAGCCCTGGGTTCTATTCCTCAATACCACATAAACAGAAAAGAAGTGGCACTGTGGTTCAAGTGGTAAAGCACTAGCCTTGAGCAAAAGAAGCTCAGGGACAGTGCCCAGGCTCTGAGTTCAAGCCCCAGGACTGGCAAAAAACCAACTAAACAAAAAAAAAACCCAACTTGAGCAGTTTCACATGAAACTTGAGATTTGGGGGTTTCTCTTGAAAAATCTAGCTTCTCACACCTGAATCTTAGCAGCTATTCACTACAGTACTGTTCCCTCCTTACTGCCTTCCTTCTAACCTGCATTCTGGCCTCTGTAGGCATTTGAATTTTTGATCCATGTTGTTGGCATGGCAATGGGAGGCCACTGGAGGCTTTTCAGTAGGAGAAATGATGAGTTGAGCAGTGAATAACATATTGGTGGGAGTGACTGTGTTAGGAGTAGATGGCTGTTATTTAATCTGCCCAGAACAATGAGCTCCATTTTGCTGGTTGTATACCTTCTTCTGGTTGTGTAGCTGCAACTAGGTCCCCAAGAACTCCTTATATAAGCCCCCTTCTCATTCACAATGTCAGGCGGAAGAATGGTACTTAGCTTAAACTGGATCACTCACAATACCTGGCCCTCCAGCCAGATGACTGGTCTAGGGATGGGTACCTGTTCATGTTGGCTCATTCAAAGCCCTTCCCTAGAATTTTGTCCTTGGAACTAGAAACAGAAAGTCTTAATCTCTTTCTAGTAGAGCAGCTGAGAATTTCTTTTTGGAATTTGCAGTGGAGAGTTCTGGAACTTGGAAGTACAGTTAAGAGGGCTACTTTTATTCCCAACTACAAAGTAGTTACGAAGTAATGCCATCCCCACTGGAAAGTGCATTATTAGCCTTGAAAGCAGCTATCCCTGCCTGCCACTTACTTCCTGTAGAAACTTAGATAAACCTCTGTACCTTTCTTTTTTTTTTTTTGGTCTGTCGTGGGGCTTGAACTCTGGGCCTGGGCACTGTCCCTCAGCCCTTCAGCTCAAGGCTAGTGCTCTACCACTTGAGCCACAGTGCCACTTCCAGTTTTCTGGTGGTTTATTGGAGATAAGAATCTCACAGACTTGGGCTGGGAAGGTGGCTCAGTGGTAGAGCGCTTGCCTTGCATGCCTGAGGCCCTGGGTTTGATTCCTCAGCACCACATAAGCAAAAAGAAAAAAGCCGGAACTGGCGCTGTGGCTCAAGTGGTAGAGCGCTAGCCTTGAGCTGAAGAGCTGAGGGACAGCGCCCAGGCCCAGAGTTCAGGCCCCACGACCGGACCAAAAAAAAAAAAAAAAAACAACCAAAAACAAAAAAAAGCAGACTTTTCCTGTCCAGACTGGTGTTGAACTGCAATCCTCAGACCTCAGCCTCCCGAGTAGCTAGGATTATAGGTGTGAACCACCAGCACCAGGCTCTAGGTTACTTTTTGTACATTTTTACTCAATTCATACCTTATTCTCCAGAAACCCTTAGCCCTTATATTCCTCTTATATTTTCATATCTGATGCTTCCTGGATCTGGAATATGCTACAGCCTTCTGTAAACCACTCCCCTATATAGAAATGAGAGACACTAGTATCTGTCTGGTGAACCCCACTAATGTTTTCATTAGAAAACTGCAGTTTTAAGTTATAGAACCTCAACAGAAACTACTCAAACTATAAATATGTATTTGTTCAAAGATGTATTGGTCCAGAGGTGGGCCAAGTGACTCAATTTTTCTCTAACATTTCCTAGGACTTGTCTTCCTTCATCAGTTCTTCTGGCATAGCAGCTGAAAAAAATACTCTGCCGCAAATGTCAGCATTACATTATGTATCATACCATCCAGAAAAAAAAGGAGTATCTATTCCTCATTCTTCACTTTTATTGTAACCTATAACTGAGTCCTTAATAATCAGACTCTAAGGTGGACTGTATCATTGCCTAGTAGTATGACTTTTGGAAAGTTGACCTATTTGTGACATAGTTTGTTGTCTGTTCAGTAGGGATTATAATAGTATCTACTTCATAAAGCTGTTGTGGGAGTTAAATAAGCTTAAAAAGCAGTTCATAGACTGCCTAGCAACTACAGCAAATAGCAAATGCTCCATAAATATACCTTGGAAACATTTCCCTGCATTCTGTAAGCTTCAGAGATTCATCTGAACAATGCTGAGAGTCTTCCTGGAATTTTTCTGTTGAAGTTGTAGTCACTTAACAAACACTGAATGAGGGCCTACTATTTTAGGCATGAAGGAATAGCAAAACACATAATATCATGTCCTTGTGGAGATTGCACTGAAGTGGAAGATGAGAATAGGAGATGATAAGCAAATATACACAGGCACAATAAACAAATAAACAGGTGAAACTGTGCTAGGGAGAAAAACCCATCAGGACAAGGTATGAGGAAGTACAAGCTGACACTTGAAGATGAGGAGGATATACCAATATATGCAAGAACATTTGAGGCAGACACAACAGCAAGTGCAGAACTCTTCTAGCAGCAGTATGCTTGGCATGTCAGCACAAGAAAGAGGCCAAAGTGTGGCTGGAAAAGAATAGGAGAGTAATAGCTGATGAGCTCAGATGTAGCGGGTTGCAGGTCACATGGTAGAATATCAACATAATCCTAAATGCCAGAGAGGAACAGGGTATTACTGGCACAAGCAAGTTTTATAATAAAGGCAATGATCGGAGCAGGGTAATGGCCTCAACTTGTCTGATGATGGGGTTGAAAGAAGGTCAGAGAAGCCTTCTCTAAGGAAGTGGTTCCTGAGCTATTGAAGGATCAATCGAAAATATTGGGGCAGAGGGGGAGGAGCAATCCAAGTAGTGAAACTGCTACAACAGAGTATGGAGAGATTGTGGTGTATTCATACAAATATGGAGAAGGAAACAAGGAGCCAGGGAGTGGCCAGAAAGAGGAGAGGTCTGTAGAGCCTGGATTAATTGCTTTCCTCTTGATTTATTCAAGTGTTTATTGAACACTTGGTGTGTGCTAGACGTCTTGCCTGGTCTGGGAACACAGTAATATACACAGCAGTACATAATTCTTGGTCTTCAGTAACTTACATTCTAGTAAGGGAGGGTGACATGCTAGAACAAGAGGCCAAATGATATATTTTAGGCAGAGACCTGGGGGGAGGGAGGGGAGGATGTTCCAGGCCTTGCTCTCTAGTGTCATCATCTCTTCCATTTGTTTTCTTTTTCTTTCAAAGCAGGTCATGGACGTCATCAAACGACAGAGGGGCCGTTATTATTGCTGGTCTGGCAGAATCAGGGCACTCATTTCAAACTGCTCGGTTCTCAGGAATTCCATTTCTTAGGCAAGTTCTCGGCAAATCAGTGTGAAAAATACAACCATGAAAACACAGGTCAGAAGAGGGATGGGGAATCAAGGCAGTTCGTAGTCTTCAGGGAGGTCTATAGCTGACAATGGTCCTCTTGTACTCTCAGAAGACCCCTCTGCTGTCTCAGAGAAGCCAAAAGGTGTGGGAATAGAAGAAGACCCTGGAGGCTGCAACACTGATTCAAGTGAGATCCCAACAGAGGAAAACTTCTACCCAGATTAAGTCTTAAAACACCTCCTGCACCACTAAAAAGCAAAGCTACTTGACTGTATAAACTATTTGTTTTTGTGAAGAAAGGGGCACTTTTCCCCCTTCCCCCCCCCTTCACAGCAGCCTCTCGGTCCAGTCCTAGCCTCGACTGGCAGCAAAAATTCTCGCTCAGCCGGGGATCCAGGTTCCTTGGAAGGAGAAAGGACCTTGTCTCTCGAGGTTCCTTCCTGCACAGACCAACCTACAGCTTTGGGCCTATTCTTCAGGCCTCGCCCATCTCAAGCACCACCCACTTGGTCCTCCTTTAGGACCCGCCTCCTTCCGGCTCCTCCCCAGAGTGGCTACTTGGATCGCCCCCCTCCCCCTCCTGCCTGCTTTGCTTCCGGGCCCGCTTTCTTCAAGCTAGAATCGCTCGGCTCCAGGGCTTCCCCTGAGCCTGGCCTCAACCCAGTCTGCTCCTGAAATCTCCTCCCGCTCGAGTCCACCTCCCGGAACGCTCTCCCTTAGCTCCGCCCACCCCTCCTCTAGCAAGCTTGGCCCCGGCTCCGGGTCCTCCGAGGCCTCCAATGTCTTCTGTACCAGTCTCGTTCTGCAGTTCCCAGGGATCACCATCTTCTCTCCCGCCCCGCTTTCAGAGCTCTAGGCTGGTGTCAGCGGCTTTAGCCCCGCCCCTGACCCCGCCCCCCTGCCAGGCCCCGCCCCTCTCCTCTCCCCGCCGAATCTCTGGACCTTTCCAAAGCTAGGTTCAGAGGGTGGGGGGTAGTTTGGCTGTGTGCGGCCGTGGCTGCGCTGTCCCAGTGCCGGGGTCACCGAGTCCTTCCTGGGGAAGCGGGTGAGAAGGAAGATTAGCCTGAGGCCAGAGCGGAGGTGAGGGCCGAGCGTTGGGGAGCCGCTCCGGGAGCTCGAACCCCGTTCCCCCGCCGCACGCCTGAGTGGTGCGGCCCGAGGGTAGGACTCGCGGCCGCGGGGCTCGCGCTCCGTCAGTGCAGCGCGAGCGGCGCGGGAGCTGCGGGCAGAGCCGGAGGAGCTGAGGGGGTGGTGGCGGTGAAGACTCACGCGCGTGTGCTCCGCTTCCTCCCGCCGCGGCCGGGGCCGCCCCCTGCCTCCCGCTTTCCTTCCCTTCCTCCCTCCCTTCCGCCTCCGAGCGCGGCGGCACCGTCTCCTGTGCCGTGCGGCTTCCTCTAGACCTCTCGGCGCGGGTGAGTGGAGGCTGCGGGCGTCTCCCAGGGGTGCGTGTGGGGTGTTCCCGGCGCCTTTTCGTCTCCCACGCTTGCAGGAGGGCCGCTGCCTATTTTTAGAAACTCTTTTCTTCGGCCTTTCGGGGAGTCCTGGGAGCCCGTCTAACTCCAGGCCCCCTCCCCCTCCCCCCTTCCTCCCCCGCCTCGGGCCGGCCGCCCGGGGTCGCCGGCCCCAGCCCACTCGCGCTGTTTCTGGGCCGTCTGGCATTCTCTGCCCGCTCTAGTCGCGGGCCGGGCCGGGGCTTGGAGTTGGGGTGGGCCGGCGCCGGCGCCGCCTGGAAGTTGGAGTCTTTTGTGCTTGCGCCCCGCCCCGCCCGGCGAGGGGAGGAGGGAGGAAGGAGAGGAGCGGAGGCCGCGCTGGGGAGGCCTCGGGCGGGCCTGTCCCTGGCTCTCAGGCCGGAGCTGCGACTTCAGGCTCCTTTAAGCGCGCAAAACTACCTCTGCCGGGCTCCCTACGGGTGTGTCCGCTTCGGACCCCGTCTCTGCAGGTCCAGGGATCTTTTCACATCTTGGGTACACGTAGGAACAAGCGACAGGCCATCGAGCCGGGGCCAGATCCCGCACTTTGTCCCAGCTCCTTTGGGGGCCGAGCGCCAGTTTGTTTGCCCCTGTGTGAAATGGCGTAAAGGTGGAAACTGGCCTCACAGGATGTTCACGGATTTAAGGAATGAGGGAAGGGACGTGTGAGAGAAGCGTTGTACACCAACAGGTAACATTTAATGAGACTGAGTCAGGAACTTCATAAGCCTCTATCATTTGATGCTCACAACGGCCCTCTAGAGTTATTTCCACTTACAGAAGCAGAAATCAAGGTACAGATTAAACAATGTGCTCTCACTCACTTGTAGCAGTGATGTTAGTACTTGTCACTTTTTTCTTGATAAAAGCACATATCCTCTGTTAGTGCAAAGGGTGTTTTGGTTTACACCCTTAGGTCACACCATTTATAATAAAAAGACATAACTCTGGTTTCTCTCTCACTCTGGGTGAATATCCAGTGTAGTACAGATGAAATCCTGCTCTACAAGAGCTCCAAGGGAAAGTAAGTTAGGGTGAATGTTCTTGCTGTTATAAGAATGCAACTGCACATCTGTGGTGTTTGGCTTAAGGAACCCTGAAGTCTTTTATAAATAGTGAGGTCTGTTTTTTGTTGATGTCATGTTCTTCCCTGTATACCTTGTATGTTCTCAGTAGTTCTAGTTTTCCTGTTTTCAGATAAAGGCCCAAGGGAGTTGACGTGAACTAAAATTAATTTAGGTAAGTGTTCTAGTTTTCTGATATATTCGATTCTAATAGTGGAGCGAGTCTAAAAATCACATTGAGGAGTTCTTTTGCCAGGTCTTGACAATTCTCCTGATGTTTGTATTAGAAGGTCTGTTTTGGTTTTCTTCACTTGCAAGATTGTAGATTTAGGAGTGGTGGTGTACATGAGGTTAAAGCCTTACATAAGATCTAACTTTCATATCTGACTGTTCCCTTTTTCCTATTAGTGAACTCTGGAAAGGGGAGGTAAATTGTCCAAATTCACAAACTTCCTTAATAACAGAACTAGAATTCTCAGCCTTTCAATCTAGTAATTTTTTTTTCTATACCATACCATCTCTTGAAAGGGGCTGGGAAGGTGGCTCAGTGGTAGAGCGCTTGCCTTGCATGCTCGAGGCCCTGGGTTCGATTCCTCAGTCCCACATAAGCAAAAAAAGCCGGAAGTAGTGCTGTGGCTCAAGTGGTAGAGCTCTAGCCTTGAGCTGAAGAGCTGAGGGACAGCCCCCAGGCCCAGAGTTCAGGCCCCACGACTGGACCAAAAAAAAAAAAAAAAGAAAGAAAGGGCACTAATCTTATTCAGACCTGAAGATCAGGAATTCTGTATAATTGAAAATTTCAAGACATTTCTGAAGTCCCAGCCATTTTCTGTACCTTGTGTTTAATGTTCAAAGGAGGCCAGATTTTGTAAGTCAGAATTGCCAAGGGTCTTTGTTGGTCACTTCTATTTTATATTGTTTATGATTATAGTACTCTCCTATAATTGGTATCTGGTTTGTTATTTAGTGGAAGGGGATGTCCTTTTTATATGTCTCCTTTTTATTGTAAGGCAATGGAGACATAAGAATTAGGGCACTTGCCTTAGATAACAGAGTATGTATAGTAGACAGAATGTCTCATGAGTAGAGAATTTGCTATGGCATGGACTGAGCCTTTTGAGCTATTGGGCACACTGAACCAATTTCTTTATGTGTAAATTCGAGCTGTGGGGACTATGGAAAGAAAATGATTATGAAAGTGCTTTGTTGTAATAGTAGTAGCAGACAATAAGTACTTTACATGTACTACCAGTCACTGGACTGAGAATTTGTAAACCAGGTACTAAGAGTTTAGAAAAGTTTCATGACTTTCTCAATTATATGTAATGGATAAATGGTGAAGCCAGGATTCAAACTGCAAAATTTTAAACTGACAGGCTTTAAAAAAATTACATATATATGTATATACTGGGGCTTGAACTTGGCTTTTCTGCTCAAGGTTAGTAATCTATTTACTACTTCAGCTACACCATCACTTCCTGCTTTTTTCTGGTTAATTGGCAATAAGAATTATGGACTTTGCTGCCTGGGCTGGCTTTGAACCTTTATCCTCAGATCTCATCTTGAGTAGCTAGGATTACAGGTGTGAGCCCACGCCCTGGATGTAGCAGTATTTTTTTTTAATTTATAACTTTAAACATTAAAAATGCTTAATTCTGTGGCATTAAGTATATTTTATACTGTGCAGCCATCACTACTATCCATCTCCCAAACTTCTTTCATTTTCCAACTGAACTACCCAAGAAGACTTAACTCCTTGTTCCCTCATAACTCTGCCAGGGGTGAGGAAAGTCTGGGTTGGCCTGCAAAATCATTTGTTACATGCCCTGCCAGGCGAGGAATGCTGATGGTTCATCTGCCTGTAGTGATAATTTTGAATGATCTGTAATGATACAAATGCCTAAATGGCTGTTCACAGAAAAAGGTTTCTCATTTCCTGCAGCTTAGTCTCTCACAACTGCCATTCTATTTTCTGTGCTGAATTTAACCACTGTAGGACCTCATATAAGTGAAATCATATGTTTGTCTTTCTTCTTTGCACAGTGCTAGTGAATGCAAAGTTGTTACTAGTCCTCATGCAACAGGGTGTGACATGAAGCCCCTGAGTAGGAATCTAGGTTTTGTTGTGTCTCTGGTAAAGTTTTCTCTGCTTTTCTTCTCTCCTGGGGATTGGAGTTCCTTATTGTTGGAGACTTTCCTGGATCTATGAGAGCCCCTTCAGTATTTTTAGAAAAATACGTTTGACCCTGCTTTGGCCATCCAGGGTTTTTGGATATGAGGAGATGCAATGTTATGACAGCAGCAGTTTGGATTGAAACGTCTCAGAAGCTGATTAAGTGGATTACTTTTAAGACAAACTCCCTTTCAGTGTCTCTTTAAAAAAGCACACAGGAAAGCTTAACATTTGGATTTTTAAAGGGTTTTTATGGGCCCTTATTGTTGCACGTGGTTAGACTGGAGTTAGATGTAGTATTTTAGTCTTTCAGTATTCCCTTTGTTTTGACTGTTGCTGTGTCTGTGTTTTAGAGTGAAGTGTTTCTGTTTATGAAAGCTGATTGGAATTTCGTCCTAATGCCATTAAAGGTTGGGGATAGGTAAAGTTTCAGAGATGGGGAGTAGTAAGGTAACTGCTAAGAACATGTCTCATCATGGTGTGCTCTTCCTAAAAACCTGATGGGTCCTTTTGCCTTTTTAGAGCCTTGTTTTTGCTTGGCTTTTCTGCTCATGGCTGGTGCTGTGCCTGAGCTTTGCCTCCAGTCTAGTATTTTGTTAGTTATTGGAGCTAGATCTTCAATAGGCATTTTTTTGTTTAGGCTGGCTTTGAACTTTAGTGCTCCAAGACTCAGCCTCCTGAGTAGCTAGGATTACATGGGTGAGCCACCAGTGCCCAGCTGGTTATTTTTATTATTTCAGTGTTTTTGTCCAGGGGCAAAAGTCCCAGTTTATTAATTTGAATAACAAAGGGAAATAATGATTAGGTGATCTGCAAGGTCCTTTTTAGAAATAACATAAGTCTAGATAATTTAGAAGATATTTCTAGGAGCAGTTCTCCCTTTCTTTCCTCTTTCTTAAGCAGTGGTAGAGAGTAGAGATGGAGAGTCACATGAAGAGATAGATCTGTATTCAATTTTAGCTGTATGTATTAAATATATAACTGGATGGGAAAAGAGAACAACAGGAATGTCACTTGTTTCCCTTGGGTGCTAAAAGGTTTCAGACCTGTGCTCCGAATGCAGGTCATAGACCCTTAGGACCTGAGAAGATGGGACAGTCAGGTAAAATGGAAGGTTAGTGTGGGAGCCTGAGGATCATTTTGTCTGGTTTCTACTACTAAGTGTGTGGGCTTGGACAAGTTTTTTTTTTTTTCCTTTTCTGACCATTTCCTCAATTATAAATGTCTAAAAAATGGGAGTAGGAAGTGGAGACAAAATTGGAGGACCTTCTTTGTTCACCTCTCCTTAAATGAATATATAAAATAAGGATCGGAAGTGGCGCTGTAGCTCAAGTGGTAGAGCGCTCACCTTGAGCTGAAGAGCTGAGGGACAGCGTCCAGGCCCAGAGTTCAAGCCCCACGACCAAAAAAAAAATAGAAATAAGGATCTACAGTTCTTCCTTTTTGAGTATTTGGTGTTAAATTTCCTACCATTTTATAATGTCTTCCTGTAATAAATTAGTGTGTCTTAACCTTCTGGGAGTAAAAGAGAAAGTTGGGAAATTGATACTGGACTTTGGTCGCCATCTCTAGACGAACCACACTACTCACTATCTATCAAAGATACCCCAGCATCAAGCTGGGGTAGGGAAAGGGGCCTGTGGTTGAATATTTAGGTTTCCCAGAGGGCATTTGTGTTGGGAGTAGTCAGCTGATTAAAGTGCAAATCT